TCCAGTATGCTATTGTTAATCGCCGCGATGTAGTTACAGTAAGTTACTGAGAAATCATATCGGATAGCTAAACATTCGAAAATGTGACATATATTAAATTACATAGTAATACAACTTTATAGAAGGTTGTGGTATTCACAATATTTAAGATTTTGAGATATATTAATTTATATTACAGGGAAGCATTGAGGGTGGACATGTAAACTCAACTGCTATACATATCAAGAACTACGAGCAATTGATTACATTGATATTCAAGTCCAAGGATACAACATTCACTCTGGAGTGGACACCGAGCAAGCATCTGTTAAAAGTAGCATTCTCTGGCACTGATTACAATGGAAAGATCTGTGGTTTACTTGGTAATGCTGATGGTGACAAACGTAATGACTTCCAGACGCCAGATGGTATTGAAGTAAACGACGCCACTACGTTTGGTGAAAGCTGGAAGGTAAACGGAAAAGTGTAAGTTCGTTATTTCGTATTCAAACAGTTTTCGTGACGTGATTCATTTACGACATCGAATCACTTGTCTTTAGGGAGTGAAGTATAGAATCAATGTATGTAAAATCGAAAGATGCTTCATGTATGTTTCTGTTCCATATGTTGATATTACAGATGCATGGATAGCTTTAATCTAAGTCAAATTGGTTGAAACCTAGTAGACATTACTAAGCATGTAACTATATCGACCTAGAAAGGTCATAAAAGGTCATAAGGTCATTAAAGCTAACTAATACAGACGTACATATGCCGTACCAATGATTACAAGCCATTGTCACTTTTTTGATTTTTTCGACTATTGAAAACAGCGTGTTTTAAAACCACGCATGACTTTATGAATTGCACAGGAGGTTCAAAATGAACCTAGACGATCGCGTCCCGGTTTGTTAATAAGCAATACATTTAATATAATTGGCAACATATTAAAAAGATCATTTTTGTTACAGGTGTGGTTAACAGTCTTCTACTACCAAGATCTGGACACAGATTTGGATTTTCTCATTGCATGTAATATTAGATTATTTATTCGGGGATGTTTTTTTCGATATGTCGTTTGATGGCAATTCGAATTTGTCGATTTCAGCAAAATTACGGATTACTGATTGCAGGTT